GAGGTTCCAGAAAATGTCCACACAATATTTCTGCCAGGTTACTGCCAATTTAGCAGACGCTTTGCTCATGTGATGCTATGGAATAAATGTGAGCTAGCGTCATATACACTGAAGACCTGGAAGCAGAGTTTCAAAAAAAGTTTTTTTGCACAGACTCTGTGTTGGTGTTGAAAGGTGCTCTCGGCCTGTTAAAGCTGCCTATGACCTCACTAACCCGTGTGCATTATAAAATCTACTTGAAAACCTTAATCAAGCTCCTGTTAGACAAACTGCACAGTGGCTGACAGCTCTAACAAACACTCTGAGTTCTTTAATCTTCAACCTGAGAGCCCAGATAGCAGATACAGAGGCTCTTGGACTGTGTTGGACCATGTTAGTAGGCTGCTCACTCTCTTACCCTCCAGGTTATTAACAATTTAAACTTTCTGTACCAATTTGACAGATCATTATTAATTCAATTTTAGGAAGAGAGTCCCTAGAAAGTAATGTGACAATTTTATTTGTTTGAAAACAGTCTAGGGACACCTTGCACTCAGGAAGCAAAGTTACCTTGACTTGTTTGTGGATTTTTTTTTTTTTTTGCCTCCTGGATATCTTCTTTCTTTTACTTGTCATTTTGACTCACTTGGTATTTTACAGCATTAATTAAAAGAGGGCTGTGTGTGCTGGCGCAGTCAGTGGTTGTCAGGAGGCCCATTGAGACTACATAGTGCTGACTGGTTGTGCAACGTGTATCTCCAAAGTGTTGATCTGTGCCACTGCAGTTACACAAACAACTTGACACATAAGTATGAACTTGTTTGCTTGTTAATCTTTATTTTCTTGAGACCAGAGCTGCTTTTTAGAAGCCCACTGGACGGTTTGGACAAAGACATCACAGTGGATCATGGTCAGCAGTAGAAATTGTTTCACTTTGACTGTGATATGTGTATCTGCTTGTTCAAATGAAGTTATGGGACCAGTTGTCAAAGCAAAACTGTATTAATTCAACTCTTCTGTGGAGACATTTGACTTTCCCAGACCTTTAAATTTCGATCCTTCAGTTTCCTTCCCTCTCAATACTGTATGTTCCCATCAGCTTCACATTGCGGTGTAGAGCAACAGCAGACCTCCACAAGCTTACTGCTAACATGGAGAGTGATATCAAATCCCACTGTTACATAACCTACTGATTACATACTTGTACTGCATTCACTTTCAAAGGGCTCCAGTGGGTGTTATTCAGGGATTCATTAAAAATGGTTTTGAACTAATTACATCTTTTTGTTTCCTTCGGCTGCTCTTGTTACAAGCAGCCACAGTGGAATCATCTTTCTCCATAGGTACAGTATGTAAACCCAGAAGGGTTGTGACTGGCACTAAGAGTGGCTGGGTGTAGTGCACTGGACAGGAGCGCTGCCTCTGGACCACCACTGACCTACTGCCATTAGCTACATTACTTATTCATAAAGTATAGTGAGGTTCAGTTACAGCACTGCCTTTTCCTGCCTACGCCTCTAATGGTCAGCTTCCACATTGTACTGAACCATGTGAAGACACATCTAGAGTATTTGCTTATTAGTGTGTTTGTTTTGTCACATTTTAGTTCTTTTGTGTTTGACCCTGACATTTATGGGTACTCTAGCATTTAGTCTTTGGTGATACCTAACTGGAGGAAAACCGGTCATGCTAACACAGAAAATCAAATTCTATAAAGGATCCTGTTGATTTTTGGAAAATTCTAACAGCAATTTCTACTATGATGCTCAATGATCAGGCTGTTGAGGTAGTACAGCACTACAGGTATGTAGGTACCATCGCTGATTAACATTTGAACCACAAGCTGATGCTGCCTTTAACACAGCCCATCAGCATATGATCCTTCTTTGAAAGCTTTGGACTTTGAACATCGATAGTACTTTTATGAAGATGTTTGATAGAATCTGTTCTTACTTTTGCTTTTGTTTGTTGGTGTAGATCTATTGGCCTTAAAAGAGGAACATACTGCAGGGCATTCTCAAGGTATGCAGCAAATCTACTGGCACAACCCTTAATGACATTTCTAAGCTACATAAGGACACACACTCCAATTAGCCCCTGTTCAAAGACTTTATGCTGCTCCTTCTGGTCACAGACTGAGCTCACAGGACAGCAGCCGTTGGATTTTTAAATAATATTTTTTCAGCTTTTTATTTTGATTGTTTGTTTTGCTGTGCTGCAGAATGCTGTGTACTACTAGCTGTACAACAGCCCACCCCTTTGGGGATAATAAAAGATAATCTAACCTAGACAAATATCAAGGACATTAGAGCGAAAATTTAACAGCAGACCCTGCAGGTCCTCCCACTTCACTGATGTACACCAAGGGCGGGGGGTCCTTGCTGATTGGAGCAGTCATCAGGCGTGTGAGGGCCTGCAGATGTGAGTCTGATCTATAATAAGACTGGACTGCGGAGCATTTAAAATCTTCACCACTCCTCTTCCTCTGCTATGCCTCCATTCCTCCGCTCCATCCAGGGAGTGCCACCTCCTCCACCTGCTGCTGCCTGTCTGTTGCAGTTTGAAGCTGCTGTTTGGTGCAAACCTCCACAAACCGAACGGTAGTTTATTTTAAGGTTTTTAAAGGAGTGGCCATAGTTTCTAAACTCAGTTTATGAAATGTTTTCATGGTTTTTAGCTGAAACTCCCACTTGGATAACCAACCAAATAATTTTTGCTGCATAATAAATGTTGTCATTCTGCACATTATTGTCACTGTTGTGTCCACTTTAGTTTAATGAAACACAGCAGTGACAACTGCTCAGTTATCCTCTGACTGACACTTACAGTCCATTAGTACAGCAATGTTGAGGCTGCACCTGTTGTTGCTGTTCCTGATAAAATATCACCCAGCACAGAAATAATAGTGAGAAAGCCTGGATCTCAACATGACAACCTGACAGGGATGTGAGCAAAACTGAACTCCAGAGGCTTTTGGTTTTCTATAAGACCTCTTTTAAAATGGTCTCTTTTAAAGTTGCACCAGAATCAAAATTATTCATTCCATTTAATCCATTTTTCAGATCTCACACTTTCAATGGGTGCCTGTTTTTGAAATTAATCTTGAATGACATGTCAGGAGAGTAAAACATCCCATTCTTGATCTGCTCAGTGCCAGAAGGTAGATTATTGTATTGTTATTCATCTAACAATAACATCAGCCATTCACAGAATGAATAAATAATTATAGTCACAGTGGCAGCCATTATGTCACATGTTATTAAATCTCAGTATCAGCAGCAGAGTAAGTGACCTGCTGTGGGATCAAAGATAGTTTAATGTCGTGTTCCACTAATGCCCGTCGCCGCTCTGTGACTGATGCAGCGAAGCCTGGGAAGCAGCGAATGCATGCTATGTGTTAATATGACCTGCTAGATACCAGATCCCTCCAACCCACCCAAACAGGCACGACATCCACGCTGACACGCCACACATCCAAACACACACACACACACACATTTGTGCAGCTATCTTTGGGAGGACACATTTTGACACCATGCATTTTTTAGATTCTTACTCTAACCTTAACCATTGCAACTAAATGCCTAACCCCAGCCCCGACCCTGACCTAAACCTAATTCTAACCCTCTAACAGCCCTTTGACTGTGTGTGAGGAAAACGTGGTCACCTTCCCAAAGCTCCTTACTCCCATGGCCTAATCCAATGGTCCTCACCGTGTACAGCCACACAAGGACACACACTCCTACCTTACCAACAGTGGACTGTTGAACTATGCCAACCAAGAGTGTAACAGCTCAGCCATTCACGGTTTTCCATCCCATAAACACAGTTTTGTCTCTCTAGATGGTGGAGTCTCAAATCTTACAAGGAATCCTCTAACACCTTGAGCTACTTGGTCAGATGGAAACCATGAATGATTAACATTTTACTGCAACATAGAGGTTTGTAATAAAATATGTATACATTTACTAAAGTTACACTGGTGGAAAGTAACTAAGCACATTTACTCAAGTACTATACTTAAGTATAATTTTGAGGTATCTGCACTAGAGTATTTTAATTTTGTGATACTTGGACTTCACTACCTTTTAGAGGTAAATACTATACTTTTTACTATACTAAATAGTATAGCAAATAACTTGAGTTACTAGTTACTTTTCAGAATCAGGTTAATGAAAAAAGTACGATCATAAAACTGGTAATTAGAACTATAAGCATAAAACTACCTCCACCTTTATCAGCTGCAGCTTTAAAGTGAGGAACACAATAATGCATCAGTTATTAAAATCCAATAATATAATATCCATTCATGTTAAACGCACCACGTTGCATAATGATTGCCTTTACTTGTAGTATTTCAGGTTTTGATGCTAATACTTTTGTACCTACAGTATGTGGTGTGTATACACACTGTGGCTGTTCAACCAGTTTTAGTGGAACCGCTGGTAAGATGGATTTTGTGTAGACGGTTTGGCCTTGTTTTGACAGTTGCAGAGACATGACCAAGACCACAGAAAGAATCCCAAGACTGCCATCCCAGATGCCACAGATTGATGGCCATGTCACTGTATCAGAGGCTTTAACTATGAACAAGTCTGACATGAACACCTGATGCTACACCACCTTAAAAAACATTACGAGAGTCATTTACTGCTATATGATACAGTCCCGTTTCGATGACAGGTCAGAGGTGACTGGTGACATCCAGTGACTATGTTTCATCTACTCCAGTGTCCACTAATTGAGTCTCTTGTAGCAGATTTTTACTTTCTTTTTTTTTTTTACTATATTTTTGTCTTGTTGGAAGATGTTGGACAGGCATCAGTTTTACTGATGCTTTTATCTACAATAAGGTCTGTCAAATTAGTTCAGCCAGATCAGGAAATTTCATTCCTGTTACTTAATCAGATTCTCATATAAAAAACTGAAATGAATGTGCTTCATGTAATAGAGTTAATGTGCAATAAGCACTGAGAAATTCTAACTATCAGAATAACTTGAGTTGTGTTTTTCTGTTTCAGACTCTGACAGAGACCAAGAGGACAGTCATGTTTTCATCCAGACCAGAGATCCAACTGTAAGTAAACACTGAGTTCTTCACTGTGACATTGCTGCCATGCCAGGTGCTGGCTTGGCCACCGGGATCAATGTGGGGATCGGTGTCCTGCCCAGAGACACTGCTTTCATTGTTCTTTAACACTGACGTGAGCAGGTGTAATACAACACAAAAACTTTGAGACTACATCGGTATTCAGTCAGAAGGACGGTGTACATTTTATTTCTGTGTTCTCAGTTCCTTATAAAAGCACCATCTGTCCTGCACAAAGTAATTATGCCCTGTGCTTCGGCTCTGAATACCCAGCTGATAGTTTATGTGGCTGAAGCGAGAATCAACAGGCATTACTATTTGTTATGATGCACAACAATTTACTGAGATGTCTAGGTGAAGTACTTCATAGCTCTTTATGAAGAGAGCAGTACTCTTGGTGATGTATTTGTGCCTCATAAACATGGTATTAAATCTGTTCTTGCTCCATATTTTAGTGTTCACAAGCAGCTGAATGTGTACAAATGTGTTTGCATATAAATGTGAACACACAAGTTATATTATTATAGTAAGTATATTTTTTATTGATTTTCACACAGTAACTGAGGAGAAGAGGAGATATTTGGCAAAAATAATAAGTAAGTTTCTCTAAAAATGAATAACGATATCCTGCTGTCACAGTCTTCACTAGAAAGGTATAGTTGCCAAAGGTCTACTGAGGAAGCAGGTGAAGTGTTAGGACAGGATGTTTTTACAAAATGAGTATGAGAATTTATGAAGCAAGTAGACAAAGGAGATATGGAGCAATGGGGCATGGCATGTTTCCTCCAGAAAGGAGGCATGAGGTAGGAGAACTGAAAGCCAGTTCAGGTTGATGGACTCCACCTAAATTATTCCAGTTGAGAAACTCGAATGGGAATGCAACCCAAACACTACAAATAAAAACACACAATAATGCTGAAAAAGGTTCTAGAGGATGTGTTCTGATTAAAAGAACTAAACAGGTCATCAGGAGAGAACGCCTTGCTTCATGACAAGTCATGAATTAACACAAAGGAGAAAGAAGATGCAGATGATGATGATGATGTCACCAGATATAAAGGCATTTTTACTGCTTCTGTTCTCTGAAGTTCAGTTGTCAGAAACCTTTAGATTTTATTTCGTGGATTGTCACGAACACATCCTCACTTTAGCGGATGGGAGTAGCATCAGCATACAGAGCAGCTCAGAGACCCAGAGCCGCAGAGCCTGAGCCTCACATGCACAATGTACACGCACAACCACTTTTCTATTGTTGAGCAGCTGGAAGGCTGAAAGTTGAGTCGAGCCAGATAACTGCTGCTGAATGGACCATTTCAAAGTGGCTTAACGCTGTCTTTTTCTCTGTGGGCAGGTAAAAGACAAGCGGTGGTCGCCCCCTTCTAACAAATCCCCCTCTGTCCCACAACGAAACCCTCACCGTACCAGATCCACAGGTGAACAGGAGAGCCCCGAGAGAGTGGTGAGCGGTGGACCCTAAAGCTCCAGTCACACACAAATGTTGAAACCTTTATGAGCTTTACTTTTAATAAGATTCTGTATATGTGAAGAGGTGAATGCAGCATTGTGGCTGACCCCAGCAGCCACCAGGCCCATGCAAACTGGATCACAATAGTCCAGGCTTGATCTAAGGAGGCCACATTCCACCAGATAAACAACCTTTCATTTCTCACAACTCAGCACAGAGGCCAGTCATGACCTTTTCCTGCTGCAGCAGCAGGTGACCACAAGCTGCTGGACGCACAGTCAACCACAAAAAACCTCAGATTGTGGCAGATCTGAAACCAGCTGGAGGTTTTAGGACTCGGCAACACTGCTAAAAAGTAGCATGTTAGCAACTTTAATAGTTTTTGCTGTTTGTCGTGAGACAGTGACACCTACTGGTTTCAAACAGGAATGTCAGTGTAGCTAATAGGCAGATGTGACATTCAGTAGTTACCTAGAAAAAGATGACAGTTACACATAAACACTACAGTGAAGTATGTTTGTATTCTGTTAACATACACATTTTATAACTATAACACTATAGAAAGCAGAAAGAAATGAGTCAACCTGATCACGCACTCGTCAGTGAATTTGTTTTAATGTCCTCAGGGCGGCGCTATCGATCACCCCTGAGGAGAAGAAATTGTTACTCTAACGCTTTTATTTCCTCTGCTACCAGGCTGTTAAATGCCATTGGTAGTCAGTAGTTGTTGTTTGTTTGATTAATGCATTGCATTAGCTGAGGTATGACATTTATTTAACTTATGGTCTGAAAGCTTGCTCAACTGAATAGCCCACTGAGATAAATAAAGCTGATGGAAATCTGAAACCATCAACTTATAAGGACTCTACAGAAAATGAGCTTTTAATAATGACATGTCAGTATTCTCCATACTGTTTAATGACCATGAATCAATTCTTTTATAAATACAGATAACTCGCATAACAGTGTGAAATTTCACAATTAATGAATATTACATTTTTACAGAACAATTGAAATTACATGAATGTGTTGTTAACAAACATATCAATCTAATTGGTTTAATAGTTGTTACGACATCAGTTCCAAACTCTTAAATAACAATAATACATTTTAATTTCATGTATAAAATGCAACTCAAGGTACTTTACAAAATCAGTATACTGAATTTTTTTGTTATCAAATTTTGTGTCCATTGTTCAAACCAGCTTCCCATGGGAATAAAGAGGAGGGGAGTAAAATAATAGTTACAATTTAAAGTAAAACAAAAAAGGTAAAAGCAAAAATTACTTAAATTGAATAACATTTATGTATATAATCACAATTCTAACCATTTTTACTCATCATCTTTAGACTGTAATTCTCTAAGATTGACATATAGTGTACCTAGTGAAGAAATGGCAGTGGAGGGGTAATAAATTCTAGGTTAAAGTAATAACTCCAAATAAATGTTGGCTCTTTAGTTAGTCTGAAATGTTGTTTGTAATAGATAATCTGACCTCCTGTTATCTGTATTGCCTACAGGTGCAGAAGGAGAAGCTCCATGCGGAGCTGAAGCAGGTGTTGAGTCAGAAGCGACGTCATCTGAGCGAGTCGACCTGTCAACCGGCTGAACCAGAGATGGACTCTGAGCCCAGAGACGAGCAGACAGTAAGCCGAGATCTGGCGAACATTATTGATGTGACTTTTCAGGCTGAAGTCGCACTTTTGTTTGTACGAATGGTTCATCGGCAACTGGCATTCAGAATCTACCCTGTGCCGAGTCACTATAAAATATAAATGATAGAGGAGATGGACAAAGATGTTCATTTTAACACAAAACTCTCTCCAGTGGTGAGTGAAGTACACAGTTTACTTTCTCCTTTGAGTCATCTACAAGTTATTTTCTTTGGTCAGTCACTGGAAAAGTGGATGGAGTCCAAGAATAGAGTGACCTTTCCTCTGTGACAGCTTAATGGATAAAAAGGAAGCAGAAGTAAAGAGCGAAGTGACAAATAATTGTAAAGTCTGCACTCGCTGAAGCAAGTAAAGTAAATTATGAAATGGTGTTGGAGTCCTTGTGCACTAGGAATTTTTTTTTCACCATATGTACGATGTTGTCTTCAAAGCTGCATAATGTGTATGTTAGTGGCCCCAAATGGTACTGAACAGTGTAAATGATGTGGACTACAGCATCCACAGCATCAGTGTTGTATTTCTCTCCCATTTTTAAAGCAATCACTTCCTGTGGACAGATATGAGTCTCTTAAATTTTGGACAAACACTATAAATGTATAGTGTTGCAGCTGGTTTAGACTGGGTACTTTTTTCTGTTGCAGATGCTTTAAAATGCAGCTTAATAAGACAAGAAAACTTATATATAGATTCAAATCTGTCATTTAAAACAGTCTGTAATTAGAGCATTGTTCTGCTGTTGAGAAATGTCTGTCTGTTAGTTTATCCTTTGTTGATATTACCACAAAATATTATACACCATTTTCAAGTTACTCAGACTATAACCTAGCCTGAGATCCAACTAACCACAGTCAGTGGTGCGATACCATGGCATCACAGGGATCATCTTGAGCCGAATTCTGTCCTTGGAGACATTAGTGTGTGGTTGTGTGCATGTGTCTCAGAGTGAGCTGCAGGCCTCTAAACCTGTGGAAATTGTGGTGGAGACGGAGGCGGAGGCTGGAGCCAGCGGCTACAGTGTGACTGGTGGAGGAGAGAGCGGGATCTTTGTTAAAGATGTCCTCAGAGACTCCCCAGCTGCCAAACATCTCAGTCTGCAGCAAGGTACCTGCAGCCACATCCATATAGGGAGCACGTTTAGTGAATGTCCTCTAGGGAAAGTGCTTTAAAATGAACTTAATCCAAGGAAGAAATCAAATTAAAACACTGCAAATTCTGAGCTGTGGTGTCTTGGGTTTGCAAACCAGTAGTGGTGCTTTGTTCATCAATACCATATTGAGTGAAAGGAGTGGAAATACCCCCTACAACCCAAAACATTTACAACCTTTTAGCTATTGAAGTGAATCTTCACTCATGTATGCAGAAGAGAGTAATATATGCAGTAGAAGGTAGCAGCAGGTCCGTTTTTACCAATACTGAAAGTGCCACTGGTTGGGTTTTTGTCCGTCACATTTAAAAGTGAAGATGTGAACACACTTGTATTTACTAGATAAGTAATGTGATTCATCTCCTAATTAGCCTGAATGCCTAATTTGATATTAGTCATTTTATTTAAAAAATGTTGAGCTCATGCCACCTCTTATTCTTATTTGCATCAAAAATGTTACAATTATTCTATTACCATACAAAAAAAAATGATATGAACTATATAAATGTCAAACAATACTGATAGATGAACTGTCACTGTTTTATGATTTTCTGTGCTTTATTCATGTGAGTCTTTCTGGATGTTTGGCTACTGCATTATTACTACGTATGTTTCAGGCAGATCTGGTGCTCTCGTAACTAATCCAACAGTATGATAATGGACTGAAGTCTGGTAAATTGCTGCTGTTGCTCAGTGTCTAAGGACTCGTGTCATCAGTCACGTCCATATAACATGAAAAAAGTGGGGACTGTCAGCAGCGTGCGGCTTTTCAAGCAGATTTTTCAGAAGATACTTTTTCTATTATTTTAATAACTCCTATTAATTCTACTTGTTATTACTACTATTAGTACTGTGCATGTTATCAGTACCACTGCATACAGGATGCTACCACCCTCCTCTAGGAAAAGCATGGGACACAAAATATACAGTACAATAGATCGATTTTTGAACCCAGCTCAATAAAAGTACAAACTGAGATGGAGGGGTTCATAACAACTTTGACAGGTTTTAACATGAGTTAATAATTTATTATAATATAATTATATCATGTTTTCTGTGTGAAGGTGATCAGCTTCTGAGTGCCAAGGTCTTTTTTGATAATGTGAAGTATGAAGACGCTCTGAGGATCCTTCAGTGTGCAGAGCCATACAAGGTCAGCTTCCAGCTGAAGAGGACGATCCATGGAGCAGAGGTCAGCATGCGGCCTGGAGTTTCCAGTATGGAAGCCAAAGGTCCCAGAGCCAAGATGGCCAAAGTGGTAATCAATTATAAATACAAATATAATACAATCGTGGAGGTGTGGTAGAGCAGTGATTAGCACTGTCATCTCACAACAAGAAAGTTCCGGGTTCGAGCCCCATCTGACCCGGGCCTTTCTGTGTGGAGTTTGCATGTTCTCCCTGTCAGAAACGACGCGCGTCATGCGGCCAAAAAGTGTTTAGGTGAACTCAATTAAATGGCCAGACGAGGAAGTGTAAAACAAAACCGTCTCTTTATTAAGAGAACTAAAACTAAACAAAAACCATACAAGACACGGTGGAAACACAAAACTCACGGTCGGTATCGGTCCCAGGTCAGAGCCAGCAAACACGTACATCCAGGGGAATCCAAAGTGCGTAGTCCGAAGGGAAAGTCCGATAAGCCGATACACATAAGCAGTCCGAGATAAGAGGGCAAGGCAGAACAGAGTAATCCAATAAAACAGTCCGAGTCAGAAACACAAATACCAAAAACCGAATATAGTGCTGGAAAGTCAGAGCTGGGGTCTAGAACAATCTGGCAGCGTCCTTGTGGGAGGATGCTGCCTAAATAGAGGTGTAAACAGGTGCACATAATAACGAAGCAGGTGAAACTAATGTGAGTGATGAAGAACGTAAAAAGACCAAAACTAAGGTGAAACAAAAACAGGAAATAATGTCAAAATAAAAGCCGGACAGGAAGCAGCGGACCCGAATCATGACACTCCCTGTGCCTGCGTGGGTTCGCTCCAGGTACTCCGGCTTCCTCCCACAGTCCAAAGACATGCAGCTTAGGCTGATTGGTGACTAAGTTGCCCAAAAGAGAGTGTGTGTGTGGTTGTTTGCCTACATGTCAGCCCTGTGATAGACTGGCGACCTGTCCAGGGTGGACTCCCCCTCTCACCCAGTGACAGCTGGGATCGGATCCATCCCCTATTCAGGAATAAGCGGTATAGATGATGGATGGATACACTACAATCAAATACTTTATAGGGTGTTTTTTTTCTTTGCAATAGATCTTTTAAAATATTTAGTCCATCGTTTTATAGTTCCAAATTAGTTTTAAAACTAGCTTGTATTTTCCATATACTCTGTTATTAAATTATACAGCTCATTAGTGTGTTCTCATGCTGTTCAATGGCCATTATTACTCATTATCATGGCCATATGGTTCAGGATGGGTTTCCTGGGCCTCCCAGGAGGCCAGGAAGATATTGTTGATAGAAGTGTACCTCTGATACATAGGTGATCTCTAGTGGCCATAGTAATTACTGTATAACACAAGCCCCAGAGAGAACTGGTGGTGAAGGGAGAAAGTATGTGTGAGGAGGAGGCTGGGGTGGATGTGGTGTTTGATTCCAGTATGAAATGTTGTGTTTTGTGTCCCTGGCCATTTTAACCCAAGTCACAATCTTGTCCTGAACCTAACCATGTAGTTTTAGTGCCCTTACCCAAACTCATAAATCCAATGATGTA